GAAGCACTTTTTCATCAAAAAAAGATGGCGGCGCCCAGCTGATGCCGGTACCGGGCCGCGGCGCCCAGCTGATGCTGGTACCGGGCCGCGGCATAAAAAAGGTTGGGGATCACTGTTCTAGTCCAACCCATTGCTCAAACGGGAAACCCTACCATCTCAGATAACTAGTTGTCCAATCTCTTCTTAAAAACCTCTAGTGATGCAGCACCCACAACTTCCAGTGGGAAGTCTTTCTGCTGATAAATTAGTCTATCATTGCATTCACCTGTCCCACACTCAAAACATAAATTAATCCGGATGAGATATCCTTTTTTAAACCATTTCCCCCCAATCTGGCACACACACCCCCAAATATTTTGTGTGGGGATTACCATCAGACCCAGGGAGCAGATTGGCCCAATGCCATGTGAGTTGTTATGTAAAATATTTAGAGGGAACAATTTGGGAGAAAGTGATGCGCATGTACAAATGATAGTCAGACGCTTTCATAAGGACTAAAATGTGTTAACTTTCACAGTAGGTGGTTATTTTGTTTTTGTTTTTGAGTACCTGAGAACGTCTCCCAATAATTTTGAAACTTTGCATATGCTAAAACTGTTCTAACAAGTGAATATCACTTTGCTCCCCCTGCATTTCAATGACTGGATAGTAAGCTAAAGGGATTTTTTTTTTTTTTTTTTGGATACTCAGCTCCAAAAGGAAAATAAAGTGTATGTAAGAGGTAGTTTCTGAGGCCATAGGGATGGTGAGCAGAAACTTAATTAGTTGGAAACAATCATCCCTTCTCAGTTGAAAGAAGTTTTGTTCTCCAAAAAAAACCCGTTCTGGGTGAATGTATAAGGACACCATTAGCATCTTCTCAAGTATCCCAAGTCTCAAATTTTGGGTGAATTCCTAATTCGTAACTTGCTATAAGTCAGAGGCTGCAACTTCAGGCTTTGTTAGAACAAGGATGAGTTATAGTGTGACAATATGATTCTTTAAACAGCGGGCAGTCTGGTTTCTTTTTTCCCCTCTTTCTCTATCCCTTCCTTAGTCTGTCTCCACAATCTTTCATCTTTTAGAAACAGTCCGTTTTAAAAGGGCGGGATGGCAATTCGACAACTATTTTTTTTCAAATGAGCAGACCATTCATGACTTGAAAACTGTCATTGGTTTTTTGTTAATCCGGAATTGATTTGGGGAGATACTTTGAACGTTTTGTGGTTTGTGGTTAAGGACAGATGGTGTCAGGTGCAAGAACTCAGGAACTAGGGTTGTTCAAAGGAGTACAAGCTTATTCCCTGTCAGCTCTAAACAAGAAACTGAACTACTAAGAGTCAAGGAAAATTGGTGGTAGATAAGAGTCAATGGAATTCAAGGGGGATAGAATCAGGGGTGAGATTCAAAAATCCAGCAACCGGTTCGCTGCCTGGCTGCTGGGTGGGTGTGGCTATGGTGGGTGTGGCCTGCCGGAACTTTAAGGAGGGCCGTTTTTCACCTTACTCAGGGTCCGGAGGCTTCCCTCAGGCCTCTTGGAGGGCAAAAATGGCCTCCCTTGGCTCTAGAGGCCCACTGGGACTTCCGGAACTTCTGGTTTGACCTGTTTTTTGCCTTCCCAGAGCCTCCGGGTGGACCCTGCACTTACCTATATCTAAAACAGGCCGCGTGAAGACTCCTAGGTGGGGTGGGTGGGGCCATCCAGTCGGTTCAACTACCAGTTCGATGAACCAGATATAAACTTAACATCCGGATTGTTCAAACCAGTCCGAATCGGTAGAATCCCACCCCTGGATAGAGTTATAACTCTTGTGGGTGTACATGGACTCCAAACTAATGACATACTTGACTCCTCCCTCGGGCTCAGCCTGGTCATCCTCTATATCTGGACTGGGCAAAGATTTGTACGGTTTTCTTGATCTTCTCCAAAGCATGTTTGCTGCTGATTTATGGCTATTAATTTTTACACTGTCATTGCCTTTTCCCATTATTGTTCTTTTTTAATCAAGATGGGGTTACAAATAGAAAGACCACATCGATCAATAAGTTCCTTGCTAGATGAATTCAAGGTCAACAACCTTCATTGAAAAGGATTAGGAATTAGCCATAAGGAAACCTCTTATCAGATGGAGTAGATTAGTTTTCTAGTATTCTTACCATTCTTAATTTTTTTAAAAAAACTTGTTAATTTCTTTTTAACAAATGGAAACACAGTACCACTCTGGTGCATTATTTGAGGAGGGTTTGTGGTTTTTATGTTATCATTTTTTAATGTTGTAAGATGCTCAGAGTTATCTGTGTGGGAGTCAGAGAGCCATGTAAATCTAGTTGATAAAGAAAGAAATAATTTCTACTTGTGAGAATTCCTCTGGCCTCTACCAGCCTTCCTCTAAGCATTCTTAGAACACAAAAATGATGGCACTAGTGGGCCAGTAGATATATCCATGTGTACCAATCTGCCAGAAATGGGATTGTTGAGAGCATCCGAGTGGTCCAAAAGACATAGAAGGAACTGTTATAAAGCCATCCATTATGATTTTATTCTATTATGGCTCCAAATACACCTGGTTACCCAGAAAGGAATCTATCCTGGCTTACATAAATATCCAGTCCAACTTGGTCTTCCGTAGCCTTGAAGTTGATCAGACTTCAAATCAAGCAACAAATGGACAACCATTTATCTGAAGTGGTATAGGGTTTCCTGCTTGAGCATTGAGGCTGGACTAGAAGACCTCCAAGATCCCTTCCACCTATTCTATTCTATTATCCCATTTGAATATGTAAACCTAAACTGGAGGTTCCATAGTGAAATTCAGGAACTGTCATTTCAATGAAGGGGAATATTTGTAGCTCAGGGTTGAAATGAGGGGTCCTTGGTGTTCTCTGAGCTTGGTGGTTTTCTTGAAGACATTGCATTACCCAACTAGGGAACATCATAAATGCTAGAAGGCAGAGAGGAGGAGGAGGAGTGTGGGGTCCTTGGTGATTTTCTTGCAGACATTGCATTACCCAGCTAGGGAACATCATCAGTTGATTAGCATTGATGATGTTAACCTTGTTTGGTTAATGTAAGGTCTGCAAGAAAAGCACCAATTTTTGAGGGCACCAATGGCTGTCATTTCAGTTTGGCTGTTCTGCTTTCATGAGGTTCGTCTAGTGGTTAGAGCTCTGGGGCATTAAATATATAAATATACCAAACACAGTCCCTCAATTTGCCAAAGGCAGCCGCCAAGCTTTAAAGCACAAAAGATTGGCTTAAAGTTGATGTGGATTTCATGTGCCCTGCCCTTCGTGAAGGCGCTCTGGTTAATTTGCAGGCAAAGGTCTTGACTGAGAACTATGCATCAATTAGCCGGGGAGGGAAAAAAAGAAAAGACAAGAAAAGAGGTTGCACTTTAATTAATATTTTAATCCCGACGTTAACAGCCTTCCTGCCAAGTCAGCAAGGCTGCATATTCTATTTTGCCATCCTTGTGATTCAACCGGGCTGACAGTTGTCACCTACTTCCAGAAGAGAAATCCCACTTGTGAAACGAGCACCAAAAAAAAAAAAAAATTAGCAAATGTCACCATGTCGCTGAAAAGTTTTAATCAGGGCTGTCATGTAGCAGTTTTTTCTGTCAGCAAATACAAAAGGACCTTTCAAGCTGAATCATTTTCTCAGACTTCGCCAGCATAGAGAATGTACATAAATGGAAGAATCGGTTTGCTAGCCGAGGAGTCTGGAGAATGGAGAATCAACCCGAGGCAATAGCAATAGCGCTTAGACTTATATACCGCTTTACAGTGCTTTACAGCCCACTCTAAGCGGTTTACAGAATCAGCCTCTTGCCCCCAACAATCTGGGTCCTCGTTTTACAGACCTCAGAAGGATGGAAGGCTGAGACAACCTTGAGCCTGGTGAGATTTGAACTGCCAAATTGCACTCAGCTGGCAGTCAGCAGAACTAGCCTGCAGTACTGCACTCTAACCACTGTGCCACCATGGCTCTTCCTTTCTTCCTTTCTTCAATCCATCCTTTCTCCCTTCCTTCCTTCCTTTGCACTTAGCAATAGCACTTAGACTTATACGAGGGCTATCCACAAAATAGATTACGTTTTGCGATAGAAAAAAAACAAAGTGTAGGAAAAAAAAATTATTATATACACTTGAAAGTGACACTTAAATACTACTTTTCAACATATTCACCGAACAAATTGAGGCACTTATTATAGTGGTGAACAAGCTTTGTAATTCCATTGTCATAAAATTCAGCCGCCTGAGATTTGAGCCAGTCAGTCACGCCCGCCCACAGTTCCGCGTCGTCATCAAAGCGCTGTGTTCCAACCCAGGTCTTCATCCTCGGAAACAAGTGGTAGTCGCTTGGTGCAATATCGGGGCTGTAGGGCGGATGAGGAAAAATCTCTCACTTGAAAGCATTCAGGACTTCTCGAGTGCCGTAGTTCGGCCATTTTTAAACTTAATGCACCATTGGCGCACTCCACCTTCAGTGATGATGTTGTCCCCGTACACTTCACACAGTTGCCGAAAAATTTCAATCGGTTTATGGTTTTTTGCCAACAAAAACCTTATCACTGATCGCACCTCACAACTCGCGGGATTTTCAATTGCAGCACACATTTCAAACGTTTGCTGTGAAATAATGGGCAACGATACGAACCTCCCACTAGCACGACTAGATGCAGACTGAGCGGCGGACGCACAGACCAAAGATGGCCGCGCTAGCTCCGCCCCTTCTTGCTACAGACGAAAACGTAATCTATTTTGTGGATCGCTTTACAGACTTCTCTAAGCAGTTTACAGAGTCAGTCTCTTGCCCCCAACAATTTGGGGTCCTCATTTTACCCACCTCGGAAGAATGGAAGGCTGAGTCAACCTTGAGCCTGGTGGGATTTGAACTTGAGCCAAATTGCAGGCAGAGGACAGTCAGCAGAAGTAGCCTGCAGTACTGCACTCTAACCACTGCGCCACCGTGGCTCATATGCTCATTTCCTCCCTCTCTTGCAGGTAAATCGCCTTGCGAGTTGTGCTCTGTCCCCCCATCCATCCCAGGCAACAGCCATGAAGTTTCGCCTCCTTACGGTTTTTGCACTGCTCTTTGCGATCTCCAGATGCTGGGCTGTCAGCTTTCCAGAAGATGATGATCCTATTAACCTGGTTGACTACCATTGTAAGTGAGCAGCAAAGCCGAACGTATTGTGAGATTGCCGTTTTCTTTGCTTCCTCCTTGCCGGATGACGGCAATTCTTCCCTCTGTGAGCTGCCAAGTTTCAGGTGGACTTTTAATGGACTCTCTCTATCTACTGCAGCCAAAAAAGGAGGCAGGAAGCGCAAGTTTTTATTTATATTTTTAAGTTCAATTGGCTCTCACTGGCCATCTTTTATTCATTGATATTCAAGACATGCCACAAAGAATTTAGTTTAAGCCCTTCTGCTCCCGGTATGTACATCTAATCAATGCTGCTTATTGATTCTTCAGTTCCATCATCCTGACTGATGGCGTAACTTATGTTTACTTGCAGATTCCAAGCAATATCCAGTGTTTAGAGGACGACCTTCAGGCAACGAATCCCAACACAAGCTGGACTTTCAACTGATGTTGAAAATTCGAGACACACTTTATATAGCTGGCAGGTAATTTTCCTGCAGTCCACTGATTAAATTAAAATTCCCCATTCCCCTCCACCCCCTGTCCTCCATCTGCTACCTGGTTTTGCATTTCATCTATACACTTTGTCTTAAAATAATCCACTAGATAATTTCAGGGAAGGAAGGAGGAACTCAGCATGTGGAGACAATACAGGGAGAGGGTGATTTATGGTGCAGAAGAAAAGCTCTGATAGTGATCCATGCACTTCCAGATTCTGTTTTCCACCAAGAACTTGATTTGGACAAACAATGCTTTGTATTGATGTAAGAGCTTGTGTAGAATTAACCTCAGAAAAAGTTTGGCAGCTGGAAACTAGGTCATACTTACCCTGATCAATGGAATGCTTTTGTGATTTGGGAAACCAGCCACCATTAATTCAGTTTGTATAACATGCTAAAGCCACAAACCATGGCTTAGCCAGCTCTCTCACCCACAGCAATTTTTGCCTGCTTCTGATTTCGGATGATACATAAACTCAGTTGCATGGTTCAGCTCCCAACAGGCTGAGATGCAATTTTGCTGCCTGCATTCTTCCTTCTGTCTTTATAAGTTATCCTTATACAATCTGACAGAGATTGTATAAAGATAATTTATAAAGACAGAAAGAAGCAAAAGCAGATTAAAATGATCTATCAGAAGGAAACTAGAGCCTATGTTCTGATTGACAATGATCTCAAAGGCCAATAAGAGGCAACACAGCCCAGGATAACTTTTGCCAACAGAGGTAGGAACAATCTTGTCCTTCCTCAAAGCACAACATTATAAATATGATTACTCCCATCATAACATAGATTGAACAGGCCAATTACTCTTTACAACTTCCTTATTTCTTCTGATTGTTGATGGTTTTGCAATAGGTCACAATATCAAGTCAAGCTCAACCAAGTCTCCTCAACTTGGCTTGTTTCAAACTTTGATCTGGGGAGATGAGCAGTCCTAATTAAGAACAGATATTTGCTTTTTTAATGATGTTATGGAGGAACCGTGGGAGTTTAAATGGATCTTGATACTTGACGTCAAAATATGGTTTTCAAAACAGGGCTGGGGAATGGGATATTCTATTTTTTACTCTTTTAAAGATATTTATTTGTTAGGTTTTTAATGTTTTAATGCTGGAAGCCACCCAGAGTCATTTGCTATGACATGGATGGCAAAAAAAAGTAAATAAAAATCAATCAATCATCAATCAATAACATTTCTGATATGTTTCTTTTTTTTTTCTTCCAGGGACCAAGTTTATACAGTAAATTTGAATGACATTCCAAAGGGGGAAGTTGTTCCAAGCAAGGTTAGAAAATGCTGTAAATACCTTTTGTGGTTTGTTTTTTTTTAAAAAAACAAGCATTCTTGGTCAAAGATGAAATTGTCTTATTCTTTCTTTTATCTGAACAGAAGCTAACATGGCGCTCAAAACAACAGGATAGAGAGAACTGTGCTATGAAAGGAAAACACAAAGTAGGTTTGTCGTTTAAGCAAAAATATTTTAAAGCATTGAAATCGTTTAGAAGGTCATGATGGATGCTGTTTTAAAACTGCTAATGAACTAATTGATCTCTTTAACACTGCAAAAATCTGAATTTGGGGTAGGTGGGGCATGTGGACTGCTTGCACGGGTCCTTTTCAGACTGATTTTTCACAGCAAAATCGAAAAGTCCAAATTAATATTCTTAAGAAATGAGTTGCACAGATTGATAGAAAGAGACCTTTCATTTACACTGAAATTGTAAGTGCTTTGTTAGCACCGTATTGTTTTTTTCCCCTCCTTATTTCCAGCTCACTGAGCACATGTTCAAAAGTAATATTTGCTAGTGAATAGTGATGAGAGCCATTCTCTCTTCTTCTTCTTTTAATTTAATTTTTTTTTTAGGATGAATGCCATAATTTTATTAAGGTCTTCGTCCCCAGGAACGATGAGATGGTGTTTGTCTGTGGAACGAATGCTTTTAATCCTATGTGCCGTTATTATCGGGTAAGGTCCAACGCCCAAACCGGTCAGATTGTTCCCTGCCAAAATTCAAAGAGCATCTTGGTGCCCTTCAAAGATTCCTTATCAATCTTAGCATTGTTCTTCTCATCCTATTTTGTCTCTGGAGAGATCGCAGCATAAGTGTTCATCATTCTTTCCATGGCCGGTTCCTTCATTCTCACAACAATCCTGCCAGTTAGCAAAAGAAATGTGAACCAACCCACAACCCAACCATCTACTGAGATTCATAGCTAACCGCTAATTGGAGATTAGAAATTGAACCTCCCTAGTCCAGTTTTCTAACCACCACTGTAGTAAAATCTTGATTTGACAGAGCGTTTGGTGGAAGAAGTTCTGTTGAATTCAAAACATAGTTGTGCACCTCTGCCCTTCTGTATATGCCCTAGAATATGTATTGGGCCTCTGATGATTTGAAGGGCTTGGTGTCTCAGTCTCTATCTTGTCCTCTGGCCCATCCATAAGTTGCCATCATAGCTTGCAGATTCACTCAAATGAACATAAGAGTCAGCAGTCAATATAGTCCAAAGGTTTTGATTCTTATGATGGCGGAAAAGGTGATTGCCATGAGACACACATTTTAACATGGTAAGCCTTTCCCAGTAATTCTAATTAATTAATTTTGAACCTCAAGGAAGCATCTATCCATCATGGATGGTAGTCTTGTGCAGAGGTGGTATTCAAATTTTTTTACTACCGGTTCTGTGAGCGTGGCTTGGTGGGCGTGGCAGGGGAAGGATACTATAAAATCCCCATTCCCTCCCCACCCCACTAACCTGCTTTCCAGCTCCGTTCTCCTGTGCAGGGCAACCAAAGAAGACTCAGCCGATCCACTGGGACTCAATGGGAGGCAGAGAGAAGAGATGGGGACGGGGCCAGTCAGAGGTGGGATTTGATGGTTCTCCGAACTACTCAAAATTTCCACTACCGGTTCTCCAGAACCTGTCAGAACTGGCTGAATATCACCTCTAGTCTTGTGGATGTAAAAATGCATCCCTTGTATGGTTCCTTGAGCAGTATGTCTTCAGCATGGTAGGAGAGTTGAGATCAGATTTAAGAGGGTCAGTGAAGCTGCAGGGTAGACATCTCAGTTTGGTTCCCTTCAGATGTGCTGGATTTTGACCATGCTGTTTAGAAGCTATGGAAGTTGAACTCCCACATATCTAGAAGTACTACTCTGAGTAAGGCTTACATAGGAATACCTGATTTTTGTTGACCTGTTGCATGGACCTGGGGAAGCTGAAATAGCCTAACGCCCCAAATGTATATCTCTTCTTCAGCTGAGTACCTTGGAGTATGACGGTGATGAAATTAGTGGCTTGGCCAGATGTCCATTTGATGCCAAGCAAACCAACGTTGCTCTTTTCGCGGGTGAGACCCTTTCCTTCAAATGGACCATATTGATAGGTGATACAAAAGGGGAAATGAAAAGGCCTATGACATCACTGCGTCTTTGTTTTTTTGTTTTTTTAAAAATGCTAATGAACCTTTTGTGGAATTAGGAACTATTTTGTAAGCCCAGTTCTCGATTCATTCACTCTTGTTTTGCTTGATACTCAAATTCTAAGAGCTGCTAACCAGAGTGAAGTCCAAAAGACCTCTAGTTCAGATTTGTTCAAAAGACCAACCAGACTTTCTTAATTAACTTCAGCCATCTGAATGAAGTGGGGAGCAGGGGTTAAAAAAAAACCACACACACACATTTTCCTGCTTCTGTTGTGAAACCCTTGGAAGTCATAGCTCAGCTGACCTCTTGTAAATCTCCCAGAGATTTTGATCAGGCCCCTGCAAGCGCTCTTTTTTATTAACTATTTACGTGAGAAAACAGCTCTGTGGTAATAATAAAGCTTTCGCATTTCCTAGAACCGTCGCTCTGTCCTACGAGCCCCTTTTTTCACAGCGCTCTGATGAGCCTTCCAACTCTAAATTAAAAAGTATGAATAAATATATAACGTGGTTGAGATAATGGCAGCGCAGGAGGGGGAGAGAGCAGAAAGCAAAAGGTAGAAATATATAAATAGCTGTTGAAGGAGAAGAGTGACACGAACGCTGCAGTAATAGAAGGCCGGCGACATCCCTATTGCATCTGAACACTTTTTGTGTGTTTCCTTTTCTAGATGGCAAGCTCTATTCTGCCACCGTTGCGGATTTTTTGGCAAGCGATGCGGTTATTTACCGGAGCATGGGAGACGGGTCGGCCTTGCGAACAATTAAATATGATTCCAAGTGGATAAAAGGTATTTCTGATGAAAGTTGAATCGCTACCTACAATTTTCCTCTCCCCCCCCACCCCGCCATATATAGCTTTTCTTCAGTGGTGGGATTCAAATTATTTTACCACCGGTTCTGTGGGTGTGGCTTGGTGGGTGTGGCAGGGGAAGGTTACTGCAAAATCCCCATTCCCTCCCCACCCCACTAACCTGCTTTCCAGCTCCGTTCTCCTCTGCAGGGCAACCAAAGAAGACCCAGCCAATCAGCTGGGGCTCAGTGGGAGACAAAGAATAGACAGGGGCGGGGCCAGTCAGAGATGGGATTTGCCGGTTCTCCGAACTACTCAAAATTTCCACTACCGGTTCTCCAGAACCAGTCAGAACCTGCTGAATTACCACCTCTGCCTTTCTTCCCAAATTAAGAGAGTTGAAGTACACATTTATGGCTCGTAATGATTCTTCCTCAACAGCCTTTCTGAATATTTGAATTTTAGTCTATTGTTTGCAGGCATCCTAAATTGGAAGCATGCTTTTTGGATTAATAAAATGGGGAGGTATGTTTCCCCCCCCCCAACAAGTCTGGGTTCTCCCCACCCCTTGTGGGCCACTTAGCAATCAACAGCTCTCAGACAGCCTGCCAAGAACAGCTATTCTAATTTCCTCTCTCTGTTACCCTCAACCAGCAGGCAGAAATGTTGGTGTTTTAGGTGGTTTCTTTGATGAAATTAAAACTTTCATCAGCTGGAGTTTCATTTCTTCATTTCCATGTTTGAATTGTGCTCCGAATGGATTTGTGCTTAGGTTTCAATTTGTATTCCGGTGACTTTAAAAACTAAAACCAAAAAAAACCCCTGTGCTTTTGGAGTTTTGCTTCTAGATTCTAGGGAATCGTAAATTTCTAATACTGTCATAGCCTTTGCATACTTTTTTATAGGGAGATATTGATTTTTTTTAATGTTATCTCTTTCCACCGCTCCTATCTTCTTTTGCAATATTTTTTTAAAGAGGGAGGCTAAAAATAAAGTAAGTTGTGGAGATGGGTTGTTTCATTATTAGCCAACTTGGAAAACATATTTGGCAAAAAAAATAGGATGTGGATTAAGTAAATAAGAATATTGATTTGTGGGTCAACTCTTAAGTGCTCATCCTTTTCCAGTTTTGGAGGTCTTCAAATTCAGAAACTCTCATCCCCAAAGAATCACTGCTTAGAGCAATGTTTTTCAATCTTGGCAACTTTAAGATGTGTGGACTTCAACTCCGAGAATTCCCCATCCAACATGCTGGGGAGTAATCCAAATGCAGTACAATCCAATTGCTGGCGTGCCGGTTGGAGAATTCTGGGAATTGAAGTCCACACATCTTGAAGTTGCCATGGCTGAAAAAAAACCACTGGTTGGGAGAGTTGGCTGTTGATCACCCTACCATAGAATTGACCTCCAAGACTTCCATAGGGTGCCAAGTTGGGGGAAATCTGTTGCAAATTATGGCCAGTATATTTAGTGGAAGCAAGCCAGGTTTATAATGATCTGAGTTGGCTGGCTTTGACTAACTGGGTTCAGATGTAATTAGCATTTCGGCAATTAGCAATTGTTACATTATCCAGCCATCTCTGTGGCGCTATAACACAAGCAGCTTTTTATTCCCAGAGCTATGGCTGGGTGGTGCCATAAACCACTGGTGCAGAAATGCTGAATGCTCAGCTGTAGTTTTCCAAACACTCACAACTTCCATACTTCTCTCAGGAGATGAGAAGGGTTGCACAGTTCAGTGGAAGTTAGTCCCGTAATGATCGACTGTTTTTATTTACTCAGATAAAATGGAGCCAGTGAGTACAAATCAGAATTTTAGATTCTGTGGAGTTGTCTTCCCTCGCTAAATCTGAGAGTTCCCACTTTGAGAAGTTAGTCACATCTGGCATCAGAATGGAGCACTGAAACATTGAACAACTAAATGCTGAAGGATTATATCGCAATACAAACATGTGTATCAACACTAGGACTAGTAATGGTGGCCTGACTAAAAGCCTGAAAAGAGGTCAAAATAAGAAATAGAGGGAATATTAGTATACACATCTTTATATAATAGAATAAAAGCATTAAACAGATGGAAAGATTAGAGGTTGAAAGATGGTATTACTATGTATGCTCAAATAATATTGAGATTGGCATTAGAATAGCACATGGAAACACTGAACAACTAAATAATGAAGGATTATATCTCAATACAAACGTGTATTAACACTAAGATTACAAAAGTTTGACAAATGTAACAAATATTATTAACATTATTATTGTTGTTTGTATTAACGATACCCAGATGCCACACTGTTCGTGTATTGATGTTGATATATATTTAAAAATTATATATGTGTATATATGTGTGTGTGTGTGTGTGTG